CCCCCCCCCTATTGTAGCTTTTACCTGTCTAATCAGATACCCCATACAACCGGATATTCGTAGCAATCTTCTCCTTTGACTCACGAAATGTCCCTGCCGGATGCACTGCAGATGTTAAGTCCTCGCGAGTCCAAGCAGGTTAGACTTCTACACGCACACAAAAAGAAAATGTGTGGCTAGCAATCCTGCGAGAGTTCGTGAACAAAGGCCGATAGCAGCCAGATACGCACAAACTGGCGCCAAATATGCTACTTTTGCTCAATATTCATGTCGTGTACGAACACGTCCGAATTTTGCGTCTGCTTGGTACTCCCACCCACAACACACGCTAAACCCGCAAAGGCTCAGCGAAAGTTCGGGCGAAGCTTCTACCTGTAGGCCTTGACTCTGCCCTAGAACCGGGTTGATGATTAGACTCTGCGCGCTCCGACTCGGTCGGTAGGTCCACCGATTTCGTCATAGCAGCAACTAGTCCACGAGCAAAGACTAGGCTGCTGTCACGCACACACTTGCAGTAATCTCGCTAGCCCTCAGTAGGGAAGGGTCCAGGGCTTCTTCAACCGGTAAGCGAGGGCGGCCGGAGCTTGGATCTCTCGGCCTGATGGTAGTATTAGAGGCTCTTCTTCGCACTCCACAGGGGTCGGACTCAGTCTCGTCCTCAACACTTCGGCACAGCACACGGTTTTCTCCTTCACGTCTCTTGGCTTTGCCGGGGTGGGCGAACACGTTGATCTTCTCAGCCAGCGTGTCCACCAGCAGGAATAATGCTATCGATCAAGCTTGACGTGTCGCTACGGTCACTTACCGCAGCCGGACTTGACTTGTGCGACCGGGAGGAAAATCTGCTCTGTTTGTTGCGCACAAAGGCGCTTATCTTCTTATCTACTCTTTCCTACGTCATATACAAATATCTAGTGTGAACTTGTCCGTTATGGATGAGATCTGGTAACCAACGAGGTGTCGGCGACTGTTGGGCGAGGTCTCGAGAAGTCGCCATCCGGATACCATCCGGTTACGACCAGTCGTGTCCAACGGTCAACCAGTGGTGTGCGCCACACTGCCTCGTACTAATGGATGTCACTTCACTGCAGGATCTGATGAGCCAATCAGCGATCGTCCACACATTTCACAAATCTGATCCGTGTCAGTCTCCAACGGCAGCAACAGCAGCGGCGAGGGCGCCTCCGATTCTGGGCGCTTCCCGACACCACATTCAGCTCACACTTTGAATGTTGAGCGAGATATCATCGCGCGAGTTACGCGGTACTGTGGAATTATTCCTTTGAGAGCTGCCCATACCTAAAAGTATTCCCAGTAAAATACTTTAATAAAGACACAACTAAAGATTGAACTACTTTCAGTCTACATTTTAAGAAGAGGTGGTGAAAGCCTGCCAACTGTAGGTCATGAACAGGCGCAGGAACGCTCTACCACCACGTTGGAATATAATAATAATACTAGTATGGCAGCATCCTCAGGCGAGTGCTCGCCACGGTTGCTAAGGGGGCAAGCTGAAATATATTTTCTATAAGAAAATATTTTCGGCGTCC